TAAAAAAAGGTCAGATTTAACTATTTATTAAAAATGGGAAAAATGGATCGTAAAGTAGTACTGAATCGCCCCAAAAAACTGTAATTATATAAATAATGTATACTTTGATTCTTTTTTCCAATTCAAAAAATATATTGACTGTAATCATGAAATTGTTTTTAAAGTGCAAATTTATTTTACCTGTTGTAGGTACTTGTTATATAAAAGTTTTCTTTTTAATGTGTTTTCAGCTGTAAACAGGCTTTATTAACAGAACTCAGAAGAGGTTTTTTTTTTTTTATTCACAAAATTAATAGATTATTATTACCTTCTTAAGTGGCAAATATTTAGTTTTTTTAAAGCTTAATTTTCCAAAATTATCAGCAACATGCTCTATAATTACTTATTTCAAGTTTTTTCCATGTAATCTAGAAGCTGAAATTTGATATGTCAATGTATTTATATAAAAAAATTATATGGATTATATTTTATATATCTAAAAAAAAAAAAGCCCATGAAATGTTTGTGGCTCCAAATGAGTGTTATTAGTTGGTCAGAAGTCAGAACGGGCTTCTTGGATTAAAAGAGTTGCAGACGTCTGTATTAAAGCAGGTCATTCTGTCAAATGTAGGTTTTCCCTGTGGGGCTGTTGGAGCAGAAAACTTTTCACTGTAAAATTGTTAACTTAAACTTCTAGGAAAATGTGAGAAAATAAAATAATGTAATTTTAAGGTTTTATTGAACCTTTAACAGGTTTTAACTTCCAAAAATCTTTTTTGTTTTTGTCAGTGAGGGTGAGGACGGTTCCAAAACTTTTCACCACTTCTGGTTCTGGTCCGACTCTACCTCCTGTGAAGACGAAGCATCCGTCTCATTATGGTGAAACCACGCAAACCCCAGACATCAGGAACACGACAATGCCCCCTCACACTGGCAGCGGTAGATATGACTGCAATAAAAACTCTCACCTCCTCTGTGGCTCTTTGTTTTTGGTAGTTTATCATTTTTCTTTGCTCTTAGATGTTGTGTTGACGACAATTCTGGTACCCATTACTGTCACCATCCTGACCGCTCTGATCTTGACCGCGGCCTGTGCTTGCCACTGGAGGAATAAGTACGCATCTAATCAAACATCTCCTGAAGCTACACGTTTGTCCCTCCTCCTTAACCCTTTGTTCTCCTCCTAGGAAAAAGAGCGCAGAGGGAACGTACGACATTCCTTACTGGGATCGCACAGGTACGTCATCGCTCTGTCCGTAGTGAGTCTGGATGTGTGGTTATGTTGAAGCTCTGCGACTCGTTATTGATGTGCTGCAGTTTGGTGGAAAGGCATGAAGCAGCTGCTGCCCTCCAAGATGGTGGAGACGGAGGATTCAGTTCGCTACAGCACCCCTGAGGTCAGCCGGCTGCCGGGAAGGGGAGCCGTACCGGGACTGCACGCTGAACCTGCAGGTACATCTGGCTCTCTGTATGCTACCAGCAGGTCAACTTAGATTATTAATGCCTTAAAAAACAACAATGCTTGTAATTGCCTTAGTATTTCCCCCCCTGGTGGCCATTCGATAGAATGCTATTTGCAAATATTAGGTAAATGCATTTGACTTCATCATTTATCCATATTTACATGTAACTGCCTCACACTAAAGTGTAAAGGATTTCATAATAAGGTGCCTTAATTTAGACCAAATCCAGCTCCATGTTCTGTTGGTTAAATATTTTTAATCCAAAACAGTTAGCTGTCTAAACTGACATGATTCTCAATCAGAAAGAAAACTGCTTATTTTCCTTAAAACAATACTTTAAATTGATGAGTTTATTTTAAACTGTTATCACATTTAAAAAGCCAAACTTAATGTAGACTTTTTAAGGAGTTTACTTTTTTTAAATAAATGATAAAATGGGAAGAAAATGCTGTTTGCAACTTACTGCAGCAGCTCTGTAGTGTATGATCCAAAATACTCCACAGTAGTTTTTAAAACTCTAAATATGTATTTGTCAGACGTATTCTTCACCAAGTGTACATCGGTCAATAATCAGGGCTTTCAAAGGGCCAGTCGGTGGGTTTTATGACTTTAGGACCAGATCAGATTATCTGCAATACTACTGCACCATAAAGGTCAGAATCCATCAACAGAGGCTAAGCGGGGACCAGCCTGTGGTCTCTGGGTAACGGATTCAGCCTGGGTCTGATATGAAGATGTAAAAATCTGGTCTCAGACACACAGTGAGGAAAATAAGTATTTGAACACCCTGCTATTTTGCAAGTTACTTAAAAATCATTGATGGGTCTGAAAATGTAATTGTAGGTGCATGTCCACTGTGAGATATTATAAAAAAATATTGATATGATTTTTGGCAAAAACAAAGAGTTTTTTTGTGAACAAGTATAAATAATGTCAGAGTCGGGGATAAATACCTTAAAGGTGACGTTTTTCCTGGTTTTGTTTGCAGAGTACGCCCAACCACTGGTGAGCGGCGTGACAACATTAGGTCCACGTTCAACCTTTAAACCGGACGAAGGGCCCGAACCAGGATACTCTGATCCTGACCTGTATGATGCACCCATCCCACCCAATGTTTACCACCCCTACGCAGAACCGCTGCCATCATCCGGATCGGAATACGCTACGCCCATCGTCGTGGACATGGGCTGCCACCTTCCCTCCACAGTGCTTAACTTTGTGAGCTCCGGGCCGTCCTCGAAGCTCGCATGGACCGATGGCGGCCAGTCTGGGGGGTCGGTGTATGACACACCTAAAAATGCCAATGGACAGACCACGCCCACTCAGGATCTGACCTATCAGGTTCCTCAGAGTAAAACTCAAAATCCAGCGCCGTAGAGGCGGTCCAGACGAGCCCGGTGTGATGAAACAAGAAGAATCCAGCTGGGAGAGTTTGTGAACCTGCCTCGTCTGAAATGAACAATTTCTCTAACTTCAGCTGGAGACGTTTGTATTTCCTGAACTTTTCTAAGACCACAAACTGCTTGTGTGGCGCCTTTGAGTCCTATCACTGAAACTACGAAGAATGTGTTGGCGACAGGAAGGAGGAAGCTGACTACTGTTTGATAAAGACTTTGTCCCTGTTTGTGATGTGTCCATCTGTGCTCTTCTCAAGCTGTGATCTCCACCCTGACCCTCTACCAGATGATTTCTCCTCATTAAATCCCCTTCTATTGATTACATGTATCTCCTCCTTTATCAACCTGTTGCCATGGTGCGTTCTTGGACCATGCAGAGTGTCTTTATGGTACGTCTTATGTTTTAAAGCTTGAAATTGTTAATAGTTGTAATTCAATCACTGCAATCCTTTTAGGTCAAACGATTATCGGATATTTATTTTTATTTCACATCCTGCTGATATCGGACCGCACCCCCTTTTTTTTTTTTTACTCTGACTGTTAGCGGATGAATCTGTTGCACTGTTGTGGCCGACAGCGATATTTGTTTTTTTTTTTTTCTTTAGAAAACTTTTTGTCACATGAAGTGTTTTACATCCTTCCAGTGAATCTTACTGTTGGAGACCAAATGTTGCCTTCTGTGGTCAAATCTGTGCCAACATCACAAGTTCAGCCAGTCTTAAATCAAGAGTTTAATGTTCTTGCAGGTGGTTTGTCCCGTTTATTGTGATCGTCGAGTGTTTCAATCTGTGCTGAAGAGTTTAGATCAATTGTATTTTGATTTCTGTGTACATCAGTGTCTAAACGTGCATTATTGCGTGTTTTTTTTTTTTTTTTTTAAGCCATTCGTGGTTCAGACGTTTAAATGTTGCACCAGAAAAGTGCATTCCTCTCCTGCGCGCCCGTGGCACTGATCTGAGCAAACACTGGGTGACAGGAGGGCAGATGGCGGACAAACGTACGTCAAGCTGCTTCATATTTTCACAGAACAGCAGCCTCAGCTGTGCGAAGGTGTGCCACTGTCACACGCTGATTGTGTTTATTAACCACAGAGTGATTTATGGAGATTAAAGTTCCCTGGTTGCATAAGCTGAGAAATACTGTCTCACATTTATTTGGGGGGAAAAAAGTTTTTTTTTCATGTATAAGAAAGCATTTATTTCAATGAACAATTGCACTTTAAGTTCAGACATGATACATAATAAGATGCATACATAAATAAGATGCATCAGAGAGGATCAAACAGATTCCTCTTTCTAGTTTGGTAAAACTTTAACCAGCTGATACTGATTGCTCCATAAAAATCATTTGAAATGTTTCCCTTCCTGTTGTGAGGCATCACCATAAAACTAAGGCTTTTAAAATGATTCAGCTTTTATTTTTGCTTTTAAAAGAAAAAGTCCTTCATTTGTTCTGTTAATTTTTAATCTTTTCTGATGAATTTCACTTAATTTTATTTTTCTCAAATCTGTAAAGTCGTAGAACTTCCTGATGCTATAAGTAAGCCTGAAACAATCAACTCATTTAGTAATCGATAACTGGAATATAGACTCTAAAACATCCCTGTAGCAGACAGAGCAGCCTACTTAGATAAGTAATGATATAAAAAATGTAACTATAAAAAAGTTTTGCATTTAAGAAAAACTTTTTCCTCTGCCAACATCCTCTATCCAGAACTCAAATGGAAAAGTTTTATTTTCATGGTTTAATTATGTAAAAAAAGTCTTTTAAGGAAGCTTTTACTATCTGATTATTTATAGAAAAAATACAGATAACTCTAATCAATATTTCACCCCATAAATGAAATGCTACACTGCTTAGGTGTGGTTAAAAGCAATGTTCTCATTTCCCCATCAGTTGGAATTCAGCTTAACGTGTTCGTAGTTTGAGTTTCTGATTGGCTGATTCCAGTCACAAGCATATCAGCTACTCTGTAGAAAACCTTTTTTTTTTTTTTTTCAGTTCAACATTTTGTTTTATAAAAAAAAAAAGTCAACCAAAAAGTTAATTCTTTTTAAAACAAAAGTGGTTCAATATATCACCTCAGTTTGGTTAAAAAAAAAAACTAAAATCACAATGTAATAACATGTGCTTTGGTATTTCAATAAAATTTCAGCTGAGATACAGAGCGCAGCACGACAACCTCGTTTTACAACAGCTTTTAAATATTGATAAAGTTTGAACTTTATCAGCCTCGATTTCTCACTTATTTCCTCCTCTGCAGTAGAGGTATCTGTTACTACTTTATGCGTTTTAGTCGTCGGCATGACGGCGCATCACTCCTTCATGTTCTTCCCATCCTTTCCAAACTTCCACCAGGCCACAGTGAGGACGACGGCCATCAGCAGGATCAGGCTGCTGGTTACGAGGTAAGCAATCGGCAGGAAAAGGTTCTGGCCTCCGAACCAGGTCAGTGTGGTCAGAACCACTAACTTCCTGCCCTGGAAGGGCTGCACAGGAAAGTCTGCAGGAGCCACTGGTCAAGGTTTAAATAGTGGATCAAATGAAGCAGTAACCCAATGCTAACTAATCATTTGGGAACTTTCAACTAATTATAACGCCCTAGGCAAAAAAAAAAAAAAAGCAGAATCCAATAACGTTGCTGTTATTGGATTCTCAAATAGCATTTGACAGGATTTGATCTTTTAATCAGTCCTAAAGTCCTGCAAATGTGAAACATCTTTCTAGTCCTGTGAGCCTAAAGAAAAAGGGTAAGTTGCCTCCCTAGCATGCAATCAAGCCCTAAAGAGCTCTGCTAATAGTGGAGTCAGAAGTGTTTAAACACAGATGCTTCTAAAAAGGTGCAGGAATATGAGATCAGATGGCCAGGATAGAGGTTTGTTTTAATCTGGGTCATTATCCCTCTGAATGATTCAGCGACTGCCTATTTATTTATTTTTTGTCAACATTTTTTCCCTTTTCTAAAATGTTGACTCATTGTAAGAAATTTCCATGAACTCACAAAAAGAAAAATCTCTCAAAGCTTCACCCCTCCTCCACTGTATATATTGTATACAGTTCCAGTAAAAATAAAAAAAAGCAAACGCTGCATATTTACAATTCTGATAGAGAGATAATAAACATCCTGACATGCTTTCCAACAGGTTGTGGTGTCCGAACATAACCTACAAAATTTTTTTAGAGCTTCACTGAAACCATAAAGGACAGCTTTGGATGAAACATGTTGTAGAGCAAATATATTATCTAGATTCATACTTTCATTTTCTCAATGCTAATATTTATTTGGCAGTTTGGATGAACTTAAAGCTCCAATGATGCCGACAAGGGATATACATTTTAACATTCTTCAAACAAAGGGTTAAAGTCAATAAAAAATAAATAAATCTAGGAAAATGTGGTTTAATTGCAACAGAAAGCATTGATCTATAGATTTCTGCATCCTTGCAGCTTTGGTTCTTATGGAGCCTTGGTGACCTTTTGTTGACCCACTTGGAGGATCATAACTGTGAGCCTTGGAGATTATTTTCCCACTAAATTGAGACAAGGGGTAAAATACAACTCTTTAAATTTCATTGTAAAGCTATTTTCTTTAAAGGAATCTTAACATCCGCCTCATTAGACTGCATATGTTCCTTTGTCTTTGACATTTCGAAGAGTGAACCTCTGAGAAAACACATTAATGAACCTCCAGACAAGACGTGGCTGCAGGAAAAGGATACTGTATGAAATCTGGATGCTGTAGTTTCCCTTTGGAAGGCCGTGTGTGAAAGGATCTCCCGCCCGGTTTAAAATCCCATAAAGCTTCTTAAAGTTGGGGAAAGCTGCCTCCCTCATCCAGACGATCAGATCTTCATTAATAAAACCATTATTGGTCGGGTCACTCGGGTCCAGGTCGTATACAGGCTTCTGCCAGTACAGAGGCTGTCTGGTACCTGCAGAGAAAACATGCGGTTGACCTCAAACTCATCTTTTTGGATCTATAGTAAGAGAAATCAGTACCTTCAAACACCTGAGCCAGAGTTTGATTGCCCGTCTTTGGGTTGCGGAACTTGATGTTTTTGTCTGTGTACCATGTGAGGCCTTTCCGTAAGAGAGGAACAGGCATAATATGACCGCTGGAAGTCTGATAGTTAAAGGAGAAAGAGTCTGGAAGGAGACGAGTCAGCTATTAGCCCAATGCAGAGAGGAGCAACATGTTGATTGATGAGCCGCGTTTACCATTGAACATGCTGTTGGCGACAGCTCCGCAGGGAGCGATGGGGACTCCGTCCTTATCTTTTATAAAAGGCTCACAGTAAGTACTTGGATTCTAGACAAGTAAAAGAGAAAATAATGCAAATTATTTAAGAATGAGCAGGATTATTTTAGTCTGTGTTACACTGTAAATTCTAACAAATGAAAAGGAAACTGTGCAGAGTTGAGTTAGTATTCTGGAAATTTTTTGGTCATTTCTGAACATTTTTGTGTAAAAAGTAAAGTCCCAATAGGCAGAGATATGCCACCATGAATGAGCATACCCAGGCCTACTGAAAACACTCCCTTTCTAAACAGACTTAGGGTTTATCTCTAAAACAATAATACACAGACTTTCTGTACAACAAAGTCTATTTGTTTTTTTTTGTTTTTGCTTTTTAAGTGATTCTTTAGACTTTTATAGTGAGATCCTGTTAATGAAACCAGTCATAAGAGAAAAAGTGTCTACGAAGTGTATGAGAATAAAAGAAGAGGCAGATATATCCCAGAATGCTTTGCTCGGAGAGCTCTCCTTGCAAAGCATTATGGGATTTGCTGTCACAGCGGCCTCCTGTCGCTATCCGACAGTGGCGACTACTAACAAACATGGCGCAGGCACTGCGTGGTGGAGGAGGAGTTCCTAACCGGGAGCCAAAAGCAGTGATCATCTGTCCGATCGATCAGTTAACTGAGTTCACTATAAAGTCCACTATATAGTCCCCGCTCTATATAGTGATTGAGGCATTTAGGGACGGACGTTCAGGCACAGTAAGCTTGTATGAACTATGAGAACAGCAACTTTTAAACAGAGCATGCATGAGGAGAAATGGGCTCCTGCATGCTCTCACATGCGTCTAATAGGCGTTCCCTCTCGGGGGTGGGTACAGGGTTTGAATGTGCTTTTTATTTTTTTAAGTGGAGTGCACGGTTCTTTTAAAAAAACAGCACAAATCCTCCACTATACCTTTAAACGTTTCTGTCACCTTTTGTTTTTTTTACTTTTTTTATCCCAATTTTAGTAATTCAAGCCTTTGCTAACATTCTACACTATAAAAGAAGCAATTAGAGCTGGTAAAATTGATGCAAATATGGCATCAGGTAAATATTGGTATCGGACATATCTCACAGCCTTAATGTCGGTATTGTATCAGAAATTAAAAAGTTGTATCTGGACACCCACCAAATACTATCTCTTCAAACAGCTCCATATTTAAATGGTAAATGTATTTTATACTAACATTATTTTATGAAATTTTGACCATCGTTTTTTTCCGGTGGGTTTTTAAAAAGAATGATGAATTGTTCAACAAAGGCGTAATCGGAGGTTTAACGCCACCTTCCTTTTACATCTTTTACACCTTCCTGTGTAAAACCTACTGAGATCAAACCACAAAAGCTTTTCTGTTGCTTATAGAAATGAATTGAATCTTATGACAAAACACAGTTTTAGCTTCCTTTTATGGAGATATTTAATTAATTAATTACACATTTATTTATCCCTATAATGCCTTTCTGAGGCTGAACCTTTATTGGAAAAACGGATCCAGAGTTATTTTACATATGGATCCAGGCTTTCTTTCTATTTCTATGTATTATAAGCCAGTAAAATATCTTAGATTTACTAATCTGACATTGAGGTGAGTGCATGGAAGCTGTTAGTGTGAACCCACAGCAGGAAGTCAAGAAGTATCCCACTTCAAGTGAAACAGACCATCATCCACCTCTGGAGCTTAAAAGGCCATAATGTTAAAGGTTTAAGGAGTCCATGAAATAAATGCTGAAGATTTGTGGTGAGGAGCAGGTTAAGTATCAGAAAATGGTAGATTTAGAGACCCATTCTAATCTGGTCTATTGTAGATAATGATTAACCAGAATATGATGAGAGCAAAGTGTGGCTCAAAAGCTTCATCTAAAAAACCTTTTTTTTTTTGCATATCTTTAAGTGGTCCTGAAAGATATACACGCGTCTTCTTCATGAGGCAGAGATCAAACCGTTGGCTTGAATCATCATATTCCTTAATTTTTTTCTCTTTAAACTACATCCGGAAATGTCTCAGCATTTGGAGGGTTTTTTTTTTTCCATACAGAAACAAAACAAATGCAGGTTTAGATTGGGAGATGAAAGGAAAATTACTTTTTTTTGACAAATGAACGAAAAAATAAAAAATAAAAAATCCACATAAAAAGTCACATAAATAAACTCCATTTACAAATTAAACGTGAGTTAATACGGCAGTTCTTTGAAGGATGCAAACAACATGAAGACTTTAAAAAGACTGAAAGAAAACAATTGTAAAAACCAAAGAAAACACCAGTAGGGTTGAATATTAGGATAGAATATTTAGAGAAAGATCCTTTCTAAAAAAAAATCCTCTCATTTTTGTACAGCTTGCAAAGATCTGTTTAATTAATCACCTCAATTTGGGAATAGTATGAAACAACGTGAACAGATGAAGTGCAACAAGAGCTTTAGAGGAGTAGACACGATAATCCTGGTTAGTCTGTGGGATTTGTAGTCCCATAATCTACAAATCATTTAGGGGAAACAGTAAACATGTAGATGAAGTTGCAATAGTAAGATGAGCCACAAAAAAATGTCCATTCTCTAGTGAAACACGGTGGTGGCAGCAACATGCTGTGGGGATCATTTTCTTTATTTGGATTTAGTAAACTACACAGTTAGAAATATAAGGATGAACTTGTTTCGATCAAACCATAATAGCATTGAAATGGCCCAAAATCCAGATCTAAATCACACAGAGTGTCTGCAGGGGAATCTATCTAGTATGAAGATTTCTGAGACGTTTTAACAATAAAAAATATCCAAATCTTCAGTTTTTAGACAAAGCTGGTAGGGATATGATCCACTAGGACCGCAGCTGTAATTAAAAGATGTTTAAACTTAAAGATGGGCACATGGGGCTGATTACAAATCATACCATATATAGAGACACTATGAAGGGAAACCAAAGAAGGATAAATAAAATGTTTAGTGATACCTTTAATTGACTCTCCCTGCCCACCGTCTGTGCATCATCCCTGGAGTCCATATACCTGCGGAGGTTCTGATGGAAGTTTCTAAGACCATAGTAAAAAAAGACATCTCCCTGGGAAAAGAGACAAGATGTAAAGTAGTTCAATCAGAGCTGCACATTATAAATAATAATAAAACCTCTGATGCATCTTGGATGCCGAATATTAGTTAGGCCGTAGAAGGGCCTGATGTTGTGACAATATATCCAATGCAGGGTTGTTACCTTAAATGTTTGGTCAATGTAAAACTCCACCTTGCAGCGGCAGCCCTGCTCTGCGTAGCTCACATTCTTTCGCAACTCATAACATTCACTGCAGCTGCCGAGATCAGTATAGTCCAGCTGCAAAGATTCAAACAACAGGAATAAATTAGGGACTCAGCAGCTCATGAGGCTAAACCTTTACCTTGGAGCTCCCTATCTCTGTCACACCCTGTTTTATTGCACACAGAAACATTTCAGCCTGTTCTTTTTCTACATACACAGGTTTCAGCTTCTACACCTGAAAGGGAGGACTAAAACTTAAGCTCACCTTTAATTCCTGTGTACTCTGCACAGTGAGGAGCAGCCAGACTCCCAGCAGCAAGCACATCAGAGCCAGGAGGTAGAAGAAGGGCAGCACAGTGTTAGCAGTTAGCATTGGAGACCAGGCAGGCAGCCGCTGCTGCTTAAAAGCAGAGTTGTCTGGCCTCCGAGCCAAGGGCCCAGTCCTGTCTTTGGCTTTCCCCATGAGAGAGGCCGTGGGCTGAGGACAGAAGGAACCTGATGGACGGCTTCAACACAGAAGTCGACAGACCGTCTCCTTTTCCTGTCTTATTTTATGTCAGTGATATCCGCCTGTATGCAATCACACACACAGGCTGTGCAGGGTGGGGAGACAGTTGGAACCTGTTACTTATTAACCACCATCTCATGTCAAGCTCTTTCCGTTTTCTGTTTCTCTAAAGCGCCTCTTTCCTGAAAGTGTTTATTTTGGAGGACTGTAACAAAGAAAGAAGACTTTAACTCGTTCTAAAGAAGAATTGTTTTATTTTAAAGATGTAACACTAAGTGTAATTTCCTGTTGGGTTAACCGATGACCTCACATTCAAGAGTGGTTTCCTGTAAAGACAACAGCAGTTTATACTGAGCCTGTTTATTCTATCAGCATGCATTTAACAGTAATGTTGCTACGCCATTCGCTCATCACGATGTTAATAAGCTTTTATAACACTGTTAATTAAGGATTCATTTTTAAAATGTATATTTACAGAGGCTGGGTTGTTATTAAACACTGAGGACTTTTTTCTCAGGATTATTTTAGATTAAATACAGATTACTGAATATCTTTACAGTTTTTTAAAGTGAAACTTCTTGCTTGAACATTATTCTCCATCTACTGAATCTCCCGTGCCATTTGACATTCAAGCGAAGAGTATTGCTAATACTTTATATATTACTTACTTCAAAGGGTTTGTTTGATAAGTTCGACACAAAAAAAGAGTGATTTGCTTTTTATCTTTGAATTGTGTTTTTATATAATTTTCATTTAAGTCCTAAGATTCAATAAACTGTGCATAATTTATCTGGCTATTTAAATTTTTTTTATATATCCCGTCATGATGAAAAGGTTACAACTTTAGTACCATTTGACTTAATACATGTAGAAGTAAGCATATTTTAAAAGTTATTTAATTTTAAGTGCTTCATTAAGTCATTGGTTGCTGCATGAGGTGGGATTCCAGGTGCGATGACTCTACCTGTCCTCCCCAAACACAAACATGCTGCTTCAGCTGTTTGCTTTTGTTCGTTTTAGGGTTTCATCCAACAGAAGAACGAACCCTCCAGTCATTTAGAATTTAGTTATCTCCCCTGATAAGGTCCAAAGCTGGATAAATATGCAGTTTTATTTAATCCACTCGTAAACAACTTGACGGTCTTGGAGTTTGGGCATGAGTGGAATTTAACCAGAGAATCTCAGGTTGATCCAAAGATGAGAAGTTGTTAATGGACGCTGCTATCCAATGACTTGGGGGAAGTGTGTCTAAAGTCACTATTTATACTTTAACCAAGCATTTGACAGTTTCTGTTGATTCCAAGGGTGGTAGCATGTTTTTATAATGTCATGGGAGCATTTTGTTCTGCATTTGAGGCATCCTTACATGAACGTAAAAAATTAAGCTCTGACTAAAAAGAGTAAAGACTTTTAATGCAATAAATTAAAAATCTGACATTTTAAGACTTTTCCATCCCTCTTTGAAATCCTGAGGAAATGGGTTGTCCGATTTCAAAAAGGCAAAGGACTAAACATTAAACCTCAAGCTGTGATTCTGCATTTACCTTTAGAATAAAAACAATCTATGTTTTAGGTAATTCTGATTCTTTTAATGGTTTTGAAAATGAAAACGGACAAAATATGGAAACTCAAAATGTTTCCACACTTTCCAAATTAATTGACTTCCAGGCTCGATATAGAAAAAAAAAATTAAAAGAGCAGTGGATTACAACCATAAATGCAACAGGAAACAGGCAGAATGAGACCCATTTTAGTCCATTTAAAATAACTGAGAAGGTCACAAAGACGTTCAATTAAAATAGTCCAATTTTGACTTTGTCTTCTCTACAAGCAGCCAGGACTCCGCTCTCCAGCAGCTTCATGAAGTCCAGTTTGATCTAAAAAGACAAATATTAGGCATTTCTTTAATTATAGACCTGGACAACACCATAAAAATATTTTTTAAATGTTTTATCATAAAAGAGGTATAACAATATTGATAGATTTATATGAGCCAGAAACACCATTTTCGACATTCTTTTTAATTAAATTAAAAAAATTACCTAAATGTTTTCTGCTTCTGCTAAAATAAAAAAACCTTGATTAAAGTATTAGTGTGATTGAATTATTGAACATTTGTTTGTTAATAATTGATCATCTCACATAAAGCTAAGACAAATCTTTCTGTACAGAATTTATTACACTGCCAGTCAAACAATCCTATATTAGTTAGAAACAGTTAAGAAGAGTCCGACTCAGAGGCTTAATCGGTCAAAACAAAGGAACAATCAATATTAAACATTGATCTAACATTCGTCCCAGATGTCACTCAGTTAAAAACTGTTGCTTATCATTTAAGCCCAGCAGGGGGCAGTAGCTCACCTCAGGAATGTCCACCATCCGCCTGAGCTTCTGGTCCCTCCAGTTCCAGTCAACAATCAGGTACCTTAAAGCCTTCAGGTTCAAACCCTCTGGAAACAAAGTTAAAAGTAAAAAAACCTTCAGGATTCTGGAGATGATTAGAAACAAACCATAACATCCACACACACCTTTGTCAATGAGAGCACTGATCCTGCCTGGTGTTCCCACGCCGATGTGCGTGACGCCCTTCTGCAGCAGCTTAACCTGCTCCTCTATCTGTGCAGAGAAAACACAACGTTGCCCATCATGATTCAGAATATGCACGTTTCTAATATACCTTAATGACAAATGGCCACCTTGATGTGCTTCGCGAAAAGCTTCACTGCTTTGGCCTCGCCCTTGAAAGCAGTCAGCTGCCTGCAGTTGAAACAAAAAGAGATCAGAAATCAAACACAGCTTAGAGCAAAATGCTTCATACCCCTTTAAGTTTTGAACATTTTTGTCACCTGACAAGCAAAAAGAAAAGAAAAGCTTAATTCTGAAGCAAAAGATAAACATGGGTTTGTATGTGTTATAAATAAATAAAAATAATCAGAAAGAACATTGAGAAGGTGTTAGAATCCGACAGCTGTAAAATTTGCACTTTCCAAATATAGAATTTATGGAATATTGGAATATTGACAAATTAATTGTTTAAAAAAAGAGAGATGGTCACATTTCAAGGTATTAGAAGCTGAATAAGACCAGTGACTGTGTTAGAGGTTTACTTTCCAGCAAGAGAAGAATCCCAAACATAACAGGCTGAGCTGCAGTGGAATGGTTTCAGAGTATTTTCCAGTCAGGACGGCCCAGTTAAATTTTAGAGCTAAATCCAATTAAGAACCTTTGCCAAGATTTGAACACTGCTGCTCCCAGATGGTCTGCATCCAACTGAGCTGGAGCTAATTTAAAAAGACTGGGCAAACAATTCAGCACATCTAAAATGAGGAGAAACATCACCCAGCAGACCCACATAGGTTGAACACAAACAGAAATACATTAGGTGGGAGCTTAAAACAAAACCTGGGACATTTAATGCTTTAGATGTAATATCCGGTGATCCAGCATCACTGGATGTTTACGTACTTAATGAGATCAATAGTTCGAAGCGCAGAGCTGCAGACAATCAGTATAACAGCTGAACTCTTTTCTGTATGCTGCTTTTGGATCTTTGCCCATTTGGGACAAACTGAGAAAAAGAAAACAAAGAATCAGTCGAAGTCAAACACATGAGTCTGGTTGAAAACATCTGACAAAAACAACAACAACAGAAAAAGGTCAGACATGGCTCACCTTGTTTCAGATAAGAGGAGAGTGTGTGTGTCAAGTCATTACTGGATAGGAAACAGGAGTCTGTGGAAGGACATGTGGTGACCTCAGTGGGTCAGTAGATATTGACTGAAGATGAAAGTTAAAAGGGAAAAAGCTGCAACTTACTGTGCAGTTTGAGCTCCTCCAGCTCAATCACTGAGCGCTTGTCTGAGAAGTATTGAGTGAGCAGATCCTGCAGGTCAGCTGCACTGCCCGCCTTCAGCTCAGAGGTGGCCAAGACGTCCGAGATGGTTTTCTTTTTCCTCTGGAGGGAAAACCAGCATTCAAACAGAGAATGGTACGGCCCCCGGGCCGCGCTCTGTGTTTGAGCAGCGCCAACAGCAGGTGTCGCCACACTCACCTTTCTCTTCCTTTTGGGTTCAGACGATTGCTGATCTTCCTTCTCTTTCTTTTGAGGAATTACTCGCTCTTTCTGCAAAATCAAAACCCGAAAAAACATACAAGTTTGATTGAATACCTTGAAATGACATTTACAAGCGAATGTTATCTCTGAAACAATAAACAATGCATGTGTCCAATGACCTCATCTGCATGTTGTAAAGACTTGGGCATTTTTACACCAAGAATTTCAACTATATTGTTAGGAGTCAGAAGTTCTAGAATTTTTGTTTACAAAGTAGATACATTTTTGAAGTCACCACACTAAACAGCAGTGACTATAAGGAGTAGGTTTGATGTGACAACGCAACACAAAGTAATGTAAACATGTGAAGAGGAGAGAAATTAAACACAGTTTGCTAAATCTTCACAAATAATCTAGAAAAGTCTCCATTGGTCAGTCCACCTTTTACTGCCGTTATTGCTGTAAATGTTTTGGTGTTTGTCTGCCAGCAGTCAGCACCAGAATGAAATATTTGTAAATTATCTTTTGCAAAATACCAGAGAGTCCGTGGGCATAAATTCCATTGAACACACTTTGTGCTGGAGTAAAAGTATGTAGTTATGAAAAAATAGTTTTCACCTTGTAGACTATAATGTCTGAGAATTTCATCTTTGTGCGTCACTTTTTTACAGCTTACATTTAATGTCAAGGTCTGCAAAAATCTGAGTAAAACTCTGCTTTAGTTTTTAACTTGTGTTTGAATTTTAGAAGGGAGATGTTTACTGGAAAGCTTGTTTAAAAAAATTAAAATCACACTCACACACACATACATAAGTATTTGAACACCCTGCTATTTTGCATGTTCTCCCAGTTAGGGCCCTGTCAGACCTTGACGATTTAGACAGCGTAAGACAGACGTCCCAGACTCTTCTAAAGCGCTGGCATACGCTGAACTTTCTATGCATTTTTTCAATATTGGGCGTATCAGAGAGTATTCATAATGAGTCCAGAACTTATGTGCAATGATATCCTAACTTATGCATAA